AAAAAAAAAAAAAAAAAAAAAAAAAAAAACACCTTCCTTTTGGGCTGCCAACTGACAGCCGACTTGTAGGTGCCAATGGGTGGGACAGTCAGCTGGTCGGTTGCCAACCAATCCAGGTGGTCAGGAAAAAAAAAGGAAAAAGAAAGACAACGGTTTCACCTGAGATCAGAGGTGCTGTACGATGAATGGGCAAATATTTCCACGATGTGGTGGATGATGGCCAGTGCATTCTTCCTTTGAGCTGACTGCTGCGACTTCAGCTTTTGGAACAGGAGATTGAGCTCCACTGTACTTGGAGAGCTGATGCACACCTGATAAGTCAAGGACTTTTGGTGAAGTGTAGTGCACTGCTTTCCCTCACTGCTGAATTCTGAAGCTGCAAAGAACTGCAGGAACATCTGAGTTGCATGCATATCTAAGAGACGCTGTGAACACAACAAAGGAGTGAATACTCGAATCCATACGTGTTGACTAAGGATACTCCATCAAGCACACCTCTGTGTTCTCTTTTCTTGTCTGAGGCCATGAGGGCCTCCAAGGCACGTCACAGGAAAAAGGCCCTCACTAAGTGAAGGCCCAAAATGGAAAGGGCCCTGGTCCCCAGGTGTCAAAAAGCCAGGTAAGGCTGAGGTTGGGTACCGGCCAGGTAGTTGGGATCTCAGCAGGCTGGGGCTGCTTCTGGAAGGTACCAGAAGGCAGTGCCTGCTGACCCATTGAGATCCCAGCCTCACCATATATGGAGAAGCCGGGCAGCCAGAAGCAGAATCCGGCTGGGCAAGCCCCGGGAGGATGCGGAACCATGTTGGGTGAGCAGCCAGTGCCAGCAGCATCACATGCCAGTTACAGATAAACCTTGAACAGCTTTTTCATTTAATCTAAACCATAACTTTTCTGATGGTATATCTAAAGAAAAGGGCTGTATTTGATCTGAATCTTTTACGATCTTTGAACTATCTTCCCTTTTCTTTCTTTCTTTCTTTTTTCTTTTTTTTCTTTTTTTTGTATGGTCATGGCTCCATTTCCATTCTGGGGAGCATCATTCCGGTTCCTGTCCACCGGCAAGTCGAGAATTGGAATACATGGTAAACACTCTCACGCTTCCTTCCATCTGGCCGAAGGAACCCTGACCAGCATTGATTGCTCCTATGTAGGAGGATTGACTGTCAGCTTGGCCTACCACTTTCCTCTCAGAATCCATTTTGATTATGTTATGCATTTCGTGTGCAACAAGAAAAGAGGAGAGTTGTCTGGATTGTTGAGACCATGGTCTCAGTTTGCCCATCCCTGGCTCGTCGTCCTTGCTGGATTTCACTGTGCCATTTTTTCCAGATCAATCTTATCTGCCACTGTTGCCATCTTTCCCTGTAGGAGCCAGTCTCTCACGAAAGAACGTCTCTTCGTGGCTAGCCTTTCTGGCCTGACTTTCGTTGTTGATGTAACCTCCCTCCATCTGCACCGAATCTCAGTTTCCGTCATAGTCAACACTAGGGCCCACATTTCTTCCCTTGCCACCTCAGTTCTCTGGATAGTCTTGGTACACCTCCTTTTCCAGATCACCCACAGAGCCAGCTTCCTGAGAAGGTGAAACCAGATTTCCTTGCCGCCTTTGAGATTGTTAGTACTGTTGGAATGAAGGAGGATGTTTTGAGGAGGTGTGGGGAAAGGGGGTGATGAGAAGAGGAGGGACCATAGGTTGCGAGCTTAGTTCCATTTCCAGGCTGCTTCAGTGCAGTACAGGAGGCAGTGGGGTATGTCTTCTGGTCTGTTGTCTGTGCACAAAACACATAATTCGGAGCTGTCGGGATCTGTATGTTTCCTCCTCTTGTGGAGCCAGTGGCTGACAGGGGATGCGTGGGCTATGAGCCACTGCATGCTTCGGATCCTAACCAGTCTGATGGACAGGTACTTCGTCAGTAGGTTCTAGGTTCAGGATCTCCCTCCATTTTTCTTAGAGTCTGGGATCTGGGTCTGTAGTTTGTAATCCTAAGTCATAACCTAATTTTACATTGTATTCAAATATCGTTCTCGTTCTCCAGGATTTTCCCTGTTTCCAGATCCACTCTTTCGGGCCGAATTCGAGGTCTGAGGCAGAGATCAGGTTGGAATATTATCCAGGGTTTAGCTTTTGTGACCCTCACTTCCCTCAATCGGAAGGATTCTAGCATGTCACACTGGGGTTCTTTGTTCATAACTTCCGGCTCTTGTAGGTTGTGATTAATGATCGGGTAGGAGAAGAATTTGGAGAGGTAGCTGGGTGCATTAGTTCGCGAAAGAAATTGGTCAGCTCTGCGAGGCTGGGTTTGGGAAATGAGTATGCCCCAGTCCCCGGATTTCCATGAGAAGTCCTCCCTTAAGAGGGAGAGCCACTGTGTTGGGATGCGCTTCTGAATCTGTGTTAGATTTCTGTGAGGGAGTGGCAGCCTTTCAATTCATTTTGGAGCTCCTGTTCGGTTTACCATTGTCTTCGATGTTCCGCCCAAATGTGTTTCACCTGCCACACCCCTTTTTCCACCCAGGATAGCCATCTCCTGTCTTTTGTGTGTACTGTCCAGGGTGAGATACTCGGGTCTACGATAGGGGAATTGCAGAATAGAGGTTGTCCCAGGACCTCTTCTCTGTTTCCTGGTGCACCGTGTTTGTTCGGCATCATTCTTCACCAGGCTTTGAGGGTTGATTCCCAGTATGGATTTGCTGTTGGAGTATGGCTTGTAATACGATCTGTTGGGTTTCTTCAGCTCTATCTACCTGATTTGATTGTCCAGTCCTTCGCCATTACCCAGAAGAGACCTCTCATGTTCGGAGGGGAGTTGATAGGTGCTAGATTTCTGATGCTGTCCCGATCCATTTGGGTCCATGGAATGGATTGTCTTATTAGGATCTTGATAATCCATTTCATCTGCAGTGTCTATGGATTCCTGTTTGGGATCAATTAGTGCCCCCCCCCCCCCTCCTGCGGTTTCCTGATGATGTGGTTCCAGGCTACCCTGTTGATACACGTGGTCTTGTTGGGGTCTCCGGTCCATAAGCAGCATCTGGCCCTGTTTCTTAACGTTTTGAGGTCATCGTCGGGGGGGGACCAGATGGATGCCATGTACCACAGTGTCGAAAAATTGTCGTGTTAATCAGTAGTGCTCTTCCGATTAACGAAGCCTGGGCATACTTGCACGGGGCCAAGCGAGTCATTGCCCTGGCGACTAGGTTGTGGCCCATGCCTGGCCACAATCCATCCTTGTTTATCATGATACCATGGAATCTTAGTGCCTGAACTCCTGTAGACCATGACATGGGTGTGGCTGTTTCGGCTGGTTGGGGTGGGGTCCCGTCTGCTAGCCACCGTCCTTCGGTTTTGCCCCAATTGACCTTCATTTCTGATGCCAGTCTAAAGCTTCCAATGCTCTTACGAGGGCTTGGGATGAGCAGCTGTTGGCACGAATGAGGACAGCGAGGTCGTCGGCGAACATTAGTGCAGTGGGTAGGGCAAAATCATGTAAAGGATTGAAGTTGCGTTCCGTAAGGTGGTCAATGGAAGGGTCTTTCCGAAGGAAGGAGGGTATGGCTTCCATAATGAAGAGGAAGATGGGCGGGGCCAGTGGGTCACCTTGTCTAACTGATCTCGAGATCGGGTAGGTCTCTGAAAGAATCCTATTGACCTGAACTCTGCCTGTTGCGTCTGAATCAAGGACTCTAGCCCATTCTCTGAACTTGGGACCTACTCCCATTTTCTCCATGCAGGCATGCAGGAAGTCCCAGTTGACCTGATCGTAGGCCTTTTCGAAATAAAAAAAACAGGATTGCTGCCTTCATTCGTTTTTCTGTGATCTTCTTTGCTGCCTCATTTAGTGCCATCAAATTATCTAGTATGTCCAGGGATAAAGCCTGCTTGGTCGATATGAAAGCATTTGTTTGTTAGCTTTGTAATTCTGTTTGCAAGGGCCTTAGCGAGGATTTTGTAGGGAGTGGTGAGTAGTGATATCGGTCTATAGTTTCTTAGGTCCTCTTTGTCTCCCTTTTTGTGCAGCAGAGATACCACGCTGGTGCTTAGTTCCTTGCCTAGGCCTCCCTTTAGCCTGCTGTCGTTGAAGAACTCGAGCAGGTCCTTTCCTAGAATCGGCCAGACGTAGCTCCAAAATTTTTTAGAGAGGTCGTCAATGTCCAGAGCTTTGTCATTTCCCATCTGGGTCAGGGCTACGTGTAGCTCAGCCAGGGTTAGGGGTTTGTCCAGACCTTCCGCTTGAGCTGTTGAGATCGTTTTGTCTAGGTACAACATCATGCGTTGACAGGCTTTTAGGTTTGTTGTGGTCGGGGTTGAAGGTGTCTTTGACTCATATAGATCTGCGTAGAATATTCTGGCTATCCTTACCATCTTTGTACCTGGTGTTTTGACATTTCCTTGATCTGTTCAGTCTTTGAGGGCCTCTATGATGTTATTCCTGGCGTTCGCTTTGATTCTGGAGAAGAAAAAAAAAAGCCATGGTTTCATTGAGTGTGTAGTTTGTCATCCAAGCGCATTTTCGCAGTCCTCTCAAGTCCCATCTTCTCCATTCGTTTAGTTCCTCTTTGGGATCAGCTAGTAAATCCTTGTAGAACTCGCTAGAGGGGTCCCCTACTAGGTTACCTTTTGCGATTGAGATCGCGAGTTGGAGTTCTTCCCTTCTCCTTTTGCGATCCCCTGCTATACCCCGCGATTCTGCTGATACTATTCGTGTTAGGTCTGCGTAACCGTCGATGAACCATTGGTGCCCATTCATTCGTCTGTCTGAATTCTCGTTGTTTTTGGATGGACCAATTTTCTTTGACCGCTATGCACAACCTCTCAATCACTCGGAGAGAGTTGTTTAGCCTGAAAAAAACTTATCTTGTTTCGACTGGTGAGTTGAATGGGTTTGTGGTCCAGTCCTTTGAAGGCGGTTGAAGGACGTATTTCAGCTTCCTTGATTTCACCTTGCAGGCTCTTAAGAGATCAGGAAGTAATCAATCTTGGACAATGAGGTCCGATTGACTTGGTTCTTTTAGATTCGGGAGAAAGACTTTTTGCCCGGATACTGTGCCTTGAACGGATCGATGAGTTATATTTTGCCATTAGATTCTATATCCAGGTTCCCGCTCTTGTGGGACCCAATAATACTGTCCTAAAGATCCGGTCCAAGTTGGGGCCCAGAGTCGTGTTCCGGTCCCCTGCGGATGACAACCGGTTGCGGGTTGGGGATAAGAGGTTTGATGTTCTCAAAGAAAATCAGTCGTTCGGGTTCTACGTTGGGTGCGTACAGGTTGAGGATTATGAACTCTTATGTCTAACCATG